ATGGATATTTCTCTGTGATTACAACTCGGAATAATTTGCTTTTACACTCGTTTTAATGGTAACATATTACTGTAAAAAAGCACGTTACGGATTGTTATTAAGTGCCGTATTTTATGAGTTATGTCTCTTTATTCGCAAAAATTTTAAATTCAAACATGCGACTTGAATTTTAGGCAGTTTTTTTAATTTTTCTCGGTAAATATGAAACTTAAAGAAAAATTCTGATGCGCTATTTTGGTACATATTGTGCTTAACATGTGGCGAAGATTTTGTATCTTCACTCTTTCTGGTAGTTGAGAAATATCCAAAATACCATTTAGGATTTAACTACGATTTAGGAATATCACTCTCAGCCATAGGAATAAAACCAAAAGCCTGGAAAAAACAAGTAAAACAAGCCATTTTAAAAAGCGTAACAACAAGAGATAAAATGAAAACCAAAGGAAAAACGAAAATGAAGATGATAAACATAGAAACTTATGGGCTAAAGAAATATATGAAAGAAATGTCATTTACAGACACGTGTCTTACTTTTAAATGTAAAACATGCACGATAGAACTCAAAAGCTATTTTAGAAATAACTTCGGTGATGACCGGTGCAATTTATGTAATAACAATATGAAAGAGAACTTGGAACATTTATATAAATGTGAGTTTTATAACAGATATAAGGACAGCGAACAAAGTGACGACTGGGGAGGGGACTACACTGGGTTACTCAAACCAGCAGTAGAATATGTATGCAAGATATTGTCAATTCGAAGTATTAATATCTAAAGAACTGGAGGTAGACATAATTTCCTGTTTCTTTAGATAATCCCCGCACCTGCATTAGAGTGCCTTGTGAAAGACAAGAGAGGGACCTAGGATACAAGATACAAGATACAAAGCGATGGTAAATAGCCCAAGCTATCAGCACCTGTTATCATTCCGCTGCATCAAAAGCTCACGCTACTGGTCTGCGGGTGCCACGCTGCATGGCTAGCAAATGTTCGAAGTTTGTACGTAATAATAACGAACTCGCCGATATCAGGCAGAGTTAATTGGCAGTCCGTATACATTTCGTAGGAGTTCGTTGTTATTTCGTAGGAAACCGTATATTTTGCTACGGACAGTAATTAGCTGGGTAATTTTCCGTAGCTGTCCGTGCGTTTTGCAACATTTCCGTGTTTAGTCCGTATTTTCTCCGGCTTTCTAGTTCATAGTGTTAGTTTGTCCAATATCACTGCAGGTTACATTACAAGCAAGACTTGAAATTGGTTGTTGATATTCATTTACGTGCCGTAAATGTCATCCAGGAGTCAAGCGATGACGTAAACATTTGTGCGGCCCGTAAGCTTTGGACGCCAGATAAAATGGAGGTGTCAGCGGTGTAACAACGGCCACGAACTAAACATGGAAATGGAGTAAAACACACGTACTAATCACGGACAGCCCTGACAAAAAGTTCCTTATCACGAGCGTCCGTGTTTACGAAATCACTGATGATAGCATTGCGTACGGCCGAGCATGCGTGCGAAAATGTCCGGTGCACTATAAATCTGTATCACACCCGCTTCGCCGGCAGCGGTTTGAAACTGTAAACAACTGATTTCTTAGACTGCGGATTTCAATTAGACATTTCTTAGTAACCAGGAGTGATATTGGACAAACTAATACGCGTTTGGATGTAAGGTTATGTACAGTACGAACCTGCGGGGAGTTCCAAGCTTCTGTCGCGCACAACAGCCAGCGAGCAACCTTGCCGTTGTTGGTGGTCCCTGGAGGGGGCGCTACTCTCATGGGGAGAAACTGGCTACGCACTCTACAACTGGATTGGCAGACAATCCACCTGCTGAAGGAGAAGCAGCCGAACCGAGCTGACTCGAGCCCAAGCTCTTGGTACCCCGAGCTGTTTTGTGATGAACTTAGCACGATGAAGAATGTGACCGCTTCAATTCATGTGAAGTCGGAGGCAACTCCAGTCTTCTGTAAGGCTAGGACTGTGCCATATCTGATGAAGCCCAAGATTGATCAGGAACTAGACTGCCTAATCGAGGCAAACATCATTCAGCCGGTGGTTTTTGCTGAGTGGGCAGCACCCATTGTGCTTTTTTTGAAACCGGATAACACGGTAAGCATATGTGGTGACTATAAGGTCACGGTGAACCGGTTTGCGGATGTAGATCGCCACCCACTTCCGACACCTGAAGATCTCTTCGCTATGCTGTCGGGAGGTGTGCTGTTCACCAAGCTGGACATGGCACATGCTTACCAACAAATTGAGCTTGATGAGAGGAGTAAGCAGTATACTACGTAACAATAAACACTCACAGAGGCTTATTTGTCTACAGTCGACTCGCATTTGGAATCTCATCGGCCCCCGGCAATTTTCCAGTGAATGATTGAGAATCTGCTGGCAGGAATCCCTCGCACTGCTGTATACTTTGATGACATTCTCGTGTCTGGCGCTTCTAAGGAAGAACACCAGGCCAATCTGAAGGAAGTTCTTCAACGGCTCGCTGAGGCTGGCCTGCGATTAAGGAAGAACAATTAAGTGCTGTTTCGGCATGACATCCATTTTTGGATGCCAGATGAAATGGAGGTGTCAGTGGTGTAACCACGGCCACGGACTAAACATGGAAATGGAGTAAAACACACGTACTAATTACTATAATATAAATCTGTAGGGGTGAGTATTGCGACCAAAAACCGTATTGCAATATATTGCAATACGACAAAACCGTATTGCAATATTTTCCAATACGTATTGGGAAGTGTATACCATGCATGATATAGTAACAATTTGATGGTTTTAATATCATCATATATTGTATTATATGACATGATTTAATTTCTCATGTTTTTCTTGAGAAACAGAAGCACGGCAATGTTTTCCGCTGACAGTGCAGTCCTCTGTGCCGTAACAATGTCACCCGCTGTACTGAATACCCTCTCGGAAGGCACTGCCGTGGCTGGAATACACAATACCCCTGCTGCATAATTGGCTAATACTGGATATTGAAACTGAAACTGAAACTGAAACTGAAACAGTGGGTGCTCGCTTCAGCTTGTATCGCGCGCGCGGGCACTCAGGTGAGCATAGGCTATATATAGACTCCCTGGTTGCCGTGCTCTCTGCCTCGCTCACACGTCTGCCCCACTCTGGCCGCGCAGTAGTTCCGCGCAGTGCTCCACGCAGTGGTCGCTTACCAGTAATACTGTATGCGTCGTGTAGGCATTGTGCTTTCGTAATATATATACACCGCCAGTGCATAATTTTCGAGCCCATTAACAATATAGACATAAAGGCAAGTGTCAAGTAATTTATTTCTTGTTATACCACCGTATCGTAAAATATCGATATCCGGAAGTTGTATCGCGATATATCGAGTTTTCAAAATATATTGCAATATACCGATATACCGGTATATCGTTACACCCCTATAAATCTGTATCACACCCGCTTCGCCGGCAGCAGTTTGAAACTGTAAACAACTGATTTCTTGAACTGCGGATTTCAATTAGACATTTCTTAGTAACCAGCAGTGATATTGGACAAACTAATACGCATTTGGATGTAAGGTTATGTACTTATTAACTACACAAGGTGCCAGTTACTCTAGCATTTGTCAACATTGCATAATCAATGGGCCTAGTATGCTTTTAATGTCTTTCACCATTGTTATGAATAAAATGTCCAATACAATTATTCCTGGATTAATATTGGTAATGAATTCTTGAAAGTGTGACCTTGCTCAAGAGAAACCCAGCTGATTGAATTCCCCAATAAACTTGCGAGGATGGTGAAGCAAAGTTGCAATACATTTTTTATCAAAACATGGAATGAACATGGTGGTTTATTTACATTTAGCAAACTATATTCATAAATTCACAAGGCTTCTTTGTGCTAAACGTGGCATGTTTGGGGCATTTTTAATTTGCAGACAAAAATGGTAATGGTTATACAAACATTTATGACAGCTTTTAAACAGGAAAATGTTGTTTTAACGAAATAGAAAACTTCACAAGGAAAGATATCATATACGTATAGGAATTATATGGTCAGTTTAGGCACACAAGTTCTGGCTTACACTATGGGTTGAATCATGGCTTCACACCCATTAGATAGATCATTTAGTAACAGGTCTTGCCAAAACAACATAATAACAGCCAACTGCGACTTTAAATATGTACTTCACTATGTGATCGGGCATGTGATAAAATAATTCCACCTCTGCCAACTGCGGAACAGGTAGCAAGCACTTAAGATCTCTTAAGTGTAGTATATTAAATACTGCATGTGAAAGCAGCTAAACTTACAGCTTGAGGCACGAGTTCAAATAATTTTAAAACTTATAACAAGATTTGTTGTGCCAGCACTACATAGATCGCTGCAGATAATTACCTTTGACATGACTGGGCGGTCTGTAATCATCCTCATTTGCTGACAGTTCATCACTATTATCTTCAGCATTCAACTCAGCAGTTGGAGCTGGATAAATCAACATGAAAAGGAAGGTGTGAGTGCAGCTTTTATAATTGGTCAGCATTTAGCAGCACCTTGCACTTCACATTTTCAAGCTCATTATTCACATGGGAGTGTCTATATTCAGGCCGGTACGGGAGATTACGGTACGCATATATTTGCTAATATATTGACTAATCGCGCGTCAATAAACTCAATATTCACAGAGAGTATAGCTAAGACATGTGTCTATAGGCATCTAGAATTTTAGAAATTTAATCATCTGTAATTCACTTCCGCGCGCATATATTTGCTATATTGACTAATCGTGCGTCAATAAACTCAATATTCACAGAGAGTATATGAATTCAAGCCGGTAAGGGAGATCATTTGCATAATATATTCTAGATACCTATAGACACATGTCTTAGCTATACTCTCTGTGAATATTGAGTTTATTGACGCGCGATTAGTCAATATATTAGCAAATATATGCGTACCGTAATCTCCCGTACCGGCCTGAATATAGACAATCCCTATTCACATTCACATTTTCAAGCTCATTATTCACATTCACATTTTCAAGCTCATTATTCACATTCACATTTTCAAGCTCATTATTCACATTCACATTTTCAAGCTCATTATTCTTTTCTTTCGTATAGTAATAGCCCAAGGACATATTTCTAAGAAATGATGAGCCAACTGAAAAGACAGTCTACAGAGTCCTACTCGCAACACACTGGAGATCATCTGTAAGGCAGCAAACTACATTTACACTGCTTGTGATTGCCACTATACACAAAAACGACTGCTCTGTGCACATTGTGGATTCAAAATCGTGACCTTTGCATTCGTTAATGAATACACGTTTTCGGCACTTAGTATTTACAGTTATTATTTGTTCTGGCAAAAAAGTTCTCTATAATGTAGTGCTATACCAAAACACTGTTCTATGCGACAGCATTAACCGGTGTGTTATGGTACTGATATAGACACTAGCATGTCATGGTTACACCAGTACCTGGTTCATCTTCCTTGTCATCATCATCTGCCTCCAACTGTGCAATTGCATTGGCCCGCTCTGGAAAGTATTCGATGAAGTCGCTATCACACTTGATGCAGCGATGGCCATGCACCTGCCGCAGCCGAGCGAACGACTTCTTGCACCCGATGCATTGCAGCTTGTCGCCCATGCGTCGCACCTCCGCTGGAAGCTCCTTATCTTCAGACAATGGTGGAGGTTTTACAGGTCGATCCTGCTCCACCTGTGCCTGCCCTAGGAGTGCGATGAACACAAAGCCAAAAATATGCAAAACCACGTTGTTTGCTTGATAATTTTTCCACAAAGGCTGTTTGATCTATATGTCGAGATATGTGCTATTATCATTCTGATTACTATTATTCTAACACTGTCAGAATATTTCTCTACATGGGTTATGTAATAAGATGGCTCGGCATCAACTGACTGTTCTTAGTATACCATTAAACTAGATGCAGTTGCTGTTAAATAGTATGGCTGCTACTCTGTTCCCAGAATAGAGACATTTATTCCGTTTATCAGTGTTAGCTATGCCTTATATGACAAGAATAGCTTTTGAAATAACTCACCACATCTGTAATAGCAGATCAATAATGGCTTTTTATAAAATTTTGCTATTCTTGTAATAAAAACTGCCAGCTTTTGTATTAAACTCAATAGCCGCGTTCACACGGAGCAATAAATTCAGTATTTAGTGTTCACACGAGGCTAAAATGCGCGGTCCAACAATACACGGCTTACCAGATGCCGCATTACTTCTCGTGCTTGAGAAATTCCGAATCTCTTGGACCGCTAATTTCTCTCGTCTGAACGCAACTGAGTGCAAATACTACATTTCTGAAGCCGCGTATTTTATCGGCCATTTCCGTGTGTTCCGATTACTCACGGAGATCCCATCGAGAGACATAAAATGTCCTCTCTCGCAACATAAAATAATCGTGATCATCTTGATCTTCGTTGTTCTGCGTGAAATTCATTAAAAATCTCAATAAAATAGCAATATCATGGATATTCTCTTTGCCCATGGGCTTAGCCATTCTGAATCCGACACCACCAAACGGATCGACAAGTAACTAAATACGGCATTTCTGAAGCCGCGAAACAGCAAGTGAGCACAAATTTGTAATTGTAATTTGTGGAGTAAGTCACGAATTTGTCTCAGATTCGGTATCTCGCAAATACCGAATTTTGATAAATACGGAGTCTCATCTGAACGCAGCTAATGCTATTACAGTTACACTGTATTACAAAAACGATGAGCTGACTGTATTATAAAAAGCTGGTGAAGTTATTACAACAGCTGGCCATTTTGATTAGAAATCCAGAGAATTCTTCCAAATCTGTCATTACAAAATTGATTGCTACACCAATAAACATTGCAGCCATTCATTATAATTTAAGTCGAGCTACTATACACGGAGCATGAGCACTGAAACATACGTTTGTCCAATGCCTCTGCTTTTGTGGGTCTGCCCCGTCTTCGCTTTGTAGGGGGCTCACTGGTGGGATTCTCAGAGACAGGACTCACACTACTGGACACTTTAACACTGTTGTCTTGGCAGCTGTCATCTAGCTTCTCCTTTCCAGACAACGGGTTGCGCATATCAGATGGGGTGCAGGCACCTACCAATAGCCAAAAGAAATGTAATGAGCGAGAGTGCAATAGATACAACCAACAACTAGACAGAGGGCACTCACGGAGAGTGCATACCTCCGCCAGCGACATACGCCCCATGTAACATCTATGTGTTACGGCTGCTGCTGACTGACTGGCCTGCTGCTGGCTGGCTGGCTGGCTGGCTGGTTCGCTCACTCGACGCACTAATATCGATCGCGCCAACACACTAACACACTAACACTGACTGGCCTGCTGCTGGCTACACGAACACACTAACACACGAACACACTAACACACAAACACAATAACACACGAACGCACGAGACCAATCACATAACCTCCCCTCCAACTCCGTTGGGCGGAGGTAATAATAGGGGTGAGTATTGCGACCAAAAACCGTATTGCAATATATTGCAATACGACAAAACCGTATTGCAATATTTTCCAATACGTATTGGGAAGTGTATCATACCTATGTGTCCCGGTACCTATGTGTCCCAGTACCCAGGTACTGAGGTACCTATGTGTCCCGGTACCTATGT